TTTATATTAGAACAAGGTGTACACTTACATTTGACACTGACTGTATAAAAAATTTATGTAAACTAAACAAGCAAAACAAAAATAGTCAAAACTGGTCTTAACTAAACTTAAGCACCGTTGTTATCTAGTAAATAATCAGTTAGTTCCTCTCTCAAGGTAAATGCTTCCATTGTGGAACGGTTGGAATGAGAAATTCGTATGGATCTCATATCCGTCGAAGATTGTCTCCATGTTCCAGGAGTGAAAATCCCATTTTCCTCGCGATCCACTAAGCTCGGATCGAAGTAGCCCCCATTCCTGTCAAGCATCAAATAATTGTGCAGAACTACTGTTGCTAACACTATTTTGTCCACATTTACTGGGGCTGCATTTATAGTGGTGTGAAGAATTCTCCACCTGTTTGCCAAAATTCCAAAGGTGTTTTCGATATGCACCCGGGCAGATGATAATTTTTTATTAAAATAAAGCTTTCCGGTTGACAAGTTCCGACCTGGGTATGGACGCATAAGATTGCGTCTAAGAGGAAACGCGTTGTCTCCGACAAAAAAGTATGGAAATATTTTGTCCGTACCTATTTAAAATATCTCATGAATCAACTGTTGATAAAAGCGTTAATATACGAATTTACCGGGAAGGTTATCATCTGGGGGAATTTCAAGTTGGTTTCGTAGAATCATCCTGCCAAAGGCGCTGCGGGCGAAAATTCCTCCATCGCTTTGGCTTCCCAACGCACCAACGTCAACGAACACAAATGAATAGTTCTGATCGCATATTGCCATGAGGACGATACTAAACGTTTTCTTGAAGTTATAGTAGAGGGAACCACTAGATTTAGGGCAAATTACTTTGATATGTTTGCCATCTACAGCTCCGAGGCAATGCGGCATTCCAGTTTTTACATAAAACCTATTCATATACGTAAATTAAATTAAATAAACGTATACTTTTTTGGGTACTAACCTGTCAGCAATGTTTTTCCATTCTGTCTGATTTGGTTGAGCTAGGTAAATCTCATGGAGCTCTTGCCAAATCGCATCGCAGGTTTCATATATAATTTTTCTAACTGTTGAAAGACCCATCTTATAAGACCAAGCTAAATACTGTGGGCTACAGCCTTGTGATAAATATCTGAAAATTAATTTTTACATTTAATTTTATACATATGTACATAAGTGTATGTATATGTAAACTAACTTACATCAAAGTGATTCCCAAACGGGTCTCTTCGTTTATTGGTTCCCTTTTAGAAAAGCGTTGTAGTCGCCCTCTAAGCAACGTAAGAAGAACCTTAAATTTTTCGATGTTCATTCTTGTTGCCTTAAAGAAATGCTCCTCGTCTTTTAATTTAAGTTGTGCAAAGCAGGTGTGATGAAAACTCAAATTATTTCTAGTGAGATTCACCGGCCGGATCCACCATCTCCTTTTCAAACGCTGGCTCGCAAGAAGATATATCTTCATCATAACGAACATCACGTTTATAATTTTTACAATTTTAGTGAGCCGCACAATTTGTTCATTCATTTTTATGTATACACCAAATATTTATTCTTTTTCAAACGATTGTGTCAGCTGTTTTCGTTGCCGCTCTAATTGTGTTAAAACAGGCGAAATAGCTGGGCGAACGGTGAACGACGGCATCGCGCAATTCGGCGAACTTCGCCGTTCGCCGGGTATTGTGTTTCAAGCGTTATACGTATACAGAAACGACGCAGCGAATTTCACTTCAGTCTGCTTTCAGTTTTCATGAGAGTAACACCACGCTTCGCCGTTGAATAGTTTTATTCGTAATTTTAGCGCGTTGTTGCCACCTATATATGTAACAATGCCCAAAATGGCTGCGTATGAGTGCCAATTATAGTTTTCGGTTTTAAGAAAAGCCAATAATGCCCAATGCTTGTTACGTGGTAATACGACTACTTGGAATCGTACTTTTAATATAAGGCAACATTATTTGTCATGGTAAAAAGTCAAACTGCCGAACTGTGTAAACCAATTTAAAGTGTTTTGTAATGGGTTTTATGTGTATATGTATTAGAGTCCAGCGCAATTGTATTTGCTGTATTTCAGTCAATAAGTACTCCTTGCATTGTACTCTACTCCCAACACATTGTTACTTTTTTTCCGCATACATACACTACTTGGCGTTGAGAAAGTAAATACTTGACGTACTTGCTATTACTCCACCAAAGTACGTACTCTACTTTCCCTCATCGCGTACGAGAGATATTTGCTGCTGCCAAAAGGGAGTAGTAAATCTACTCTCTGTATACTTGTAGTACGGTAAGTACTTGCGTATTAAATTTCAATTCTGGTTGTTAGCCTACTAGTTGATATCGTTTGCAGCGCTGGTCAGTGAAATTGAAAGAGTAAAAATAGAATATGGAAATCGACGATGTAAGGAAATGTTTACGGCCTTATTTATAAAAAATAACGTAGATTTAGACAGTTGTTTAATGTGACATTTTCATAAAACTTTTGTATTCAAGCAGCTTTTTAAGTCTATGTATGTACTTAAATTTTTATGAAAGTATTATTTATCGTCTCTAATTTTCTATAAAACTATTTGCAGTCATTAACCAACAAATAAGTTGTCAAAAACAATAACTTAAGCAATGCTGCTATACGAAATAAAATTATTAGTGGCAAATCAAAATTTTGAAAAGTGCCGATTTTCACATCCGATAGTTGGACATGGTAGCGACGAGATGTACGAGCATTTTTTTTCTTAAGAGCTGCATACTGATTTTTTATAGAAGAAAATTTATTTTCCATTTATTGTGCGTAATTTTATATGAATTTTTAGTTTTTCTTGAGAGCCTTTACAAATAAAAAAAAATTCGGAATATGTACATACATATGTACATACATACGCAGCCATATAACTTGATTTCAAGAGAAACGAATTTTCATTTGGCACGTTCAGAAGGCGAAACAGCTCAGTAACTGGTGCGATTGCACCTTCTGAACGCGTTGCTGCGTACTCCTGATCAACTGAATAGTTGCGTGTTAGATGATCGCAGTGTTGCCGCCGCTCAAAGAACTTTCTAACCAAGCTTAGACGAAAAAGTTACCAAATGTAAGGAAAAATAACCAATTTTTTTATTAGATTAACTCAGGTCATCACAAATTCTTTTATATAGTACGTATAGACAAATTTTACAAACAAAAGAAAATCAATTTTCATTTCCATTTTTGAAAAGAAAATCCTTTTAAGGCTGAAAATAAATGAAATACATTCATATATAACTATATATATATAAATACATATTTTAGAAAATCAGGCATCCCGTATTAGGTGCATATGTATGTTAATATCTTCGTAAACATTAGCAGACTCTAAATGACGTTTTTAAATAAATACATAGGTACACAGTTTCAACGTGAACAACCACATTGTAAAAATTTTATAATTAAGATTAAACAATTAAAAATTGCCGCTGTGGTGTAGTGGTAAGCAGTGGCTTCCACTCCGCAGCACCTGGGTTCAAGCCCTGGTAAAAGCAACATTGCAAAAAAATATAGAAAAAATGTTTTTTCTTAACAGCGGTCGTCCCTCGGCAGGTAATGGCAAACCTCCGAGTGCATTTCTGCCATGAAAAATAGCTGCTCATAAAAATACAATCGCCGTTCGGAGTCGGCGTATAACTGTAGGTCCCTCCGCTTTGTGTGACAACATCAAGGCGCACGCCACAAGTTGGAGGAGAAGCTCGGCCAAACACTAACATATGTATGTGCCAATCTGTTATTATTATTAATTAAAAATTGGACTGTATTGAACTATATCGTCGCTCAGCGCGAAGTACCTCGTATACGCCAAACGCAGTAAATAAATTTTACAAAAGCGCGAAAAAACGATTTTTTCAGAACTGTGGAATGGTATTTCCCTTGAACCTACTTGCTATAAGATTATTATTACAAATCTTAACATAAATTAATAAAGTAAGCAGTAATGGAAAAATAATTACCAAATCCCTTTTTTATTGTACATACATTACGTGATATTGGATTCCGCATATACGAGGTATTTATATATGTACTATCTGAGTATGTATTCATTTGAAGTAGTCTTTAGCCGACCATGTATATTATGTATTCTGTATATTATAAAACAAATACATACATATGTAAGTAATATTAATACATTCATTCCAAATATTCTCACTTGGTTTCACTGCTGGGGCTGCCATTGCTGCTGCTACTCTTCTCAACCTCGACAGGTCTAGCTGGCCTATGTCTTATAACGAACCTAATTTGAAAGTTTTTTGGAAATACATATACAAAATAAAACCAAAATTGTGTATTTTTTTCTCACTTATCCATAGAATTGAGCCCGTATAAATTAACTTGAAACACCAATTTTGCGCGGAATTATAATAATTTTAGCGACTTCTTAATGACTCTCGTATTATTCAAACGTCATTTCATGTACATACTATGTAGGTTTGTGCAAAGAATATAGAAATGGTGTAACTGCGGGGCCGTTTTAAAAACTTGGCGATTAAGTCAACGCGATTTATTAAAGACATGAACCGATAATAGTTGCACTCTCGAACTTTTACATGTTCTTTTGCATATGTAAACACATGATTATTATCGGAATAAGTAAAATCTTGAGTTGCCATTTTAGTAGTAACAACTTTAGTTAAATAACCATATTGAGCACAATAAATGTATTTGTTTATACTATTTTTCAAAGATTTAATTATTGTATGTATACAAAAATTAGAAACTTATGTAAATGTTAAAAATAACCAAAATGAGAAAGATCTTAACAACTTCACAGGCAAGAAAAAAATAACCAAAATTGGTTAAAAGTAACCAAAACGGCAACACTGGATGATCGTGATATTTTTCTGATCATTTGAGACAACATGTTGGTGTGTACCTTTGAGAGTTGAATTTGACAGCTAATGTATGAAGTCGTTCAAAAGACGCATAACGATCACTGATTTTTGTTTAGCAACGGTTGCGCTCAACTGCTGCGCCTTCTGAACCTACCTATTGATAACTTTTATTTTTTGATAACACTGCGACAGCTCAAATTGGTATTGAGTAAACCCAAATGCAAGATAGAGTTTTTGAATTTCATTGAGTTTTTTTAATAAATACTGAAATTAGAGGTGTATGAATGGCGAAAGAAAAACTTCATCCGATTTTTTTTAAATCGAAACTACATTTTAACATATGTACATATGTCCATGCATACATATGAACCCATGGTTTCAATTCTACGCATATCGTCAGGGTTTTCCTCTAAGGGTGGGTAACTCAGCAAATTTATAGGAGTTGACTCAATGACTCCAACTCACTTTAAGGAGTCAGCTCATTCAACTAACTCATTTGACTCTTTGTATGTTACACTCATTCGTATCGTAGACTCGTTTTGAGGCATAGATGCGGTATAGCGGCCGTTGAGATAAAACAAAACTTTAAAGTGGGCGTGGTCAGCTCCTTTCTACTGATTTGAAAGGTGTAATTTTTTTTGTGCGCAAATTAATAGGGCGGTGCTAGGGGGAGGGTAAAGGTGGAATTTTCAATATGTTCAAAAGCTTATATTTCGAAACCTATTGTACCGAATTTCAAAATGTGGATATGGTTGGAAAGGCAATTGATTTGATATGCACATCTTTATATATCTTACATACTAAGAAAAACTAAAAAAAAAAAACGAAATTATAAGAATTTGTAAGATTTGACATAACACCCGCAATACAAAATACATGTGGTTGTTGTTGTTGTATTCTTGCCACCACCTTGTATAAATTCGTTTCGTGCAAAAACAAAATGCAAGACTTTGCCATGCTAAACACTGTGGCGAAGCGAGAGAGTTATATGGACAAATATGAGCCACTATGATTCAATTGATTCATGTGAGCCCTACGGCATCAACTGAGTTACTGAGTTACATTTTTTTTGGACAGGGAGTCTGAGTTACCGCTTCACTTATAGGAATCAACTCAATAACTCAACTCTGAGTTGAGTTACCCACCTCTATTTTCCTCACAACTTGGTTTTGCTGCAGTGAAGCGACAGAACAAGTGACGAGAAAAAATATATGCGGACACTTACATATATATGTATCTATGCACATACGTATCTATGCACATACGTATCTATGCACATACGTATCTATGCACATACGTATCTATGCACATACGTATCTATGCACATACATATCTATGCACATACGTATCTATGCACATACGTATCTATGCACATATGTATGTATCTATGCACATACGTATCTATGCACATACATACAAAAGCGCCAGGACCAGATGGCATCCCAAATATCGCGGTGAAAAAAGCGGTGTCAACAAATCCGGACATATTTGCCAGCGTTTTTAACGTGTACCTGCCAGAAGGCATCTTTCCCAACAGCTGGAAGCTGCAAAAATTGGTACTTATACCAAAGAACCCAGGCGCTCTTTCTTCCACTGGATATCGCCCATTGTGCATGCTGGATTCAACCGGCAAGATGTTTGAGCTTGTCATCAAAAATCGGCTGGAATCACATGTAGATACACGCCTATCAGGCAACCAGTTCGGCTTTAGGAAAAAGCGATCAACCACCGACGCGATCGAGGTCGTAAAAGCAATGGCCGAGAAGGCGATTGACGGCAAGCGATGGTTAGGTGGCACTAAAGAATACTGCCTAGTGGTCACGTTAGATGTTAAGAATGCGTTCAATAGTGCCAGCTGGAAAGAAATACTCCACGCTCTTCGCACACTGCAAGTACCTTTTTATCTGCAACGCATCATCTCTAGCTATCTGTCGGATAGAGTTCTGCGCTACGACAGCGACTTAGGAGCCGTCGACTACGAAGTCTCAGCTGGTGTACCACAAGGATC